GTGTGGTTGGATATTCAGAAACACGAGCTGACTTGAATTTCCATGCTCACTGTAAGTGCAGTTATAAGGCATTTATGATTTGAATGTCATTCTCTTGTACTTTTCACAGGGATTGGAAATACTGTTAGAAGGAACTGTAATTGTTTCTCTGTTCAAAGTCCTGCACATTCTGGGATGTGACTGCTTGTAGTTTGATAGAACACTGACATTTCAGGGGAACATATTACTGCCATCTTCAGGGTCAGAGAGTAAGGACAGTCCTCTGAAATGTCAGTAAACTTGTAACAAACTGCATGGTTTCACACCCCTGTGAACTGTTCTCTTCCTCGCTGCTGCCGTGACGACCTGAGATCTCGCACTGTCCTGTAGCAGTGCTGGTGAGTGAGCGTGGGGCGCACACAGCCTGTCCATCCCCTGAGGTATGTGTCACTTCATATGTTTCATTCGGGCTCCCCTGTTCATGCACTTGATATCTAAATAGCTGGAAAGTTATACGTACATCCGCTGCAGGAGTAAGTTGAACTGTGAGGTTTATTTGGAAGGCTTAGTAATTATGAGCTATGGGATGATATCTTCATTGACAGTCATGGAGATACAGTATTTAATAATTTTTAAATACCTATCTTCGGGTATTTATCTTGTGTTATCAGATTTCGAAATCACGAACTACGTATATTAATCACTTATGGGTTACGTCAGGAATCAAAGAATCATGTGTTACATAAAAACTCGAAATAATAATCCCAGTTTAAAAGCACCCCACAAAGAGTATTGTAACATATTAAGTAGGGATATTTTNTGTGGCTAATTGACAAGAGACCTAAAATACTTCCATTTTGCAACAATTTCAAAAAATTGTATTACAAGAAACAAATTTTAATGAAATAGAAGAAATAATAAGGTTAATGAAACGTACATTAGCTCGTGGATATGATGGAATTACAGCCAAGCTGAATTAATTTTTTTTTTAAATCACTTACTGCGGGTTTACATGTCAGCAGAGTGCATCGTGGTGTCTGTAATGTTGCCAGAATTGCTTTGCATATTGGCATATACAGGGTGTCCGAGGAGGAACATGGTATCAGTCTAAGAAAAAAGTGAATATGTGCATGTCTTATTCCGAACGTATTCCGAGATAGAGCTATTTCACTGTACACCGTGCAGACGAAGAACACGTCATGACCTCGCACAAGTTGCAAAGTGCATTGATGATGACAGTGGAATTTCCACAAATGTATTATACTAGGTAAACTGTAACAACTTCGTCACTTGAATACTAAATGCAGGTATTAGTAACAGTACGTAATACCGTATTTACGCATGTATAGGCCTCGTGCGTGTATAGGCCACAGCACAATTTTCAGACAGAAATCATAGAAAAAATAATTTTCTTGGAATATTATTTCAGGAGTAGAACACCCTGTATTACTAATTAGGAATATAATTTTTTTAAATGAAGTGTGATTTCGAATATTTCGAATATAAGCCGCACCCCAGTTTTCCTCTTGAATTTTTGGCAAAAAATGTGCTGCCTATACATGCGTAAATACGGTATATCTTCCTTATCAACGATTTTGCAACTGTACAGTGAAATAGCTCTTATCTCAGAAACCACCAGGAGTAGGAGATTTGTACACTTACACTTTTCTGCTTAGAATGGCAGATACTGTGACCTTACAGAATATTGACCTTTCCTCCTGGGACATCCTACTTGCCGGACTCATGTAGAATGGTTTTTAACCAGTCAAGTAGTTTTTTCTGTGTTCTTATCTCTCCCGCAGTGGCACATGAAAGTCTCCTGGACATTTAAATTTGTCACTGCAGCATTTAAAGTTGGCACTGACTTCGCTGACAAGGGGTGGTCTCTCGGTCAGTATAGTTCCCTTTCGGACTAAAAGCCACGGAGTTTAGTTTCGCATTTAATGTTATAATTTTTGCTTCCTTTTAAAAATGCAGTACCTCAATCGTGAGTTGTCATAAAACTGTGAAGCAAAACGCTGTGAAAGACAATTATCAGACTTCAGATTCCTGACCACTCACCTACAGCTACTGAAGAGGTCTAGAAAGGGTGGGTCTATATATCCAGTACCCCCATATGCCTTCATGAGCACAGGGACTTTACCATTTACCCCAGAGCTGACATTTTGTTCACCGCCTGACGAAATTTTCACATTTATTTTGCTCTCACTGCTATATTCACTCGCTTGTAACAGTTCATAAAACACCTCATCACTTACAAGCACATTCTTGCTGAGACCTGTCATGTTTAGCTGAAGGAACTCAAACCCATGACAGCTTTGAAGCAATCAGCAACTTCAGTAAATCTCGATTAACTTTCGTTTTGTATTACAGTCTGTTTGCCACAGGAGAATGTGAAGTGTCAGTGAGTCCCTTGTTATATGTGATCCGTGTTCACACAGCAGTTAGTAGGAGATGCAACAGATGTCGCGAGACTATTGTAACATATTAAATAGGGATATTTTAAGAGCGAAAAATTATTTTAATAACATTGTAGCAACTTCCAATAATCAGGCTAGGGCAGCTTGGAAGGTCATAAGGAAAGCAACTAGAAATGATCATGTTTCCAATTATGTAACTTATTTAAAGATAACAGGAAAAATGTCTAGAAATATGAAGACATTGTAAACTCATTTAATAATTTCTTTCTTGATCACAAGATGTAATAAACAATAATGTGGCTAATTGACAAGAGACCTACAGATTATTTATATACTTCCTGTTGTATCCCCGGCTGGGAGTACAGGTTGGCAGGGCGAGCGGTCCCTCAGGAGTCTAGTAGGGGTGTCTGTAAGCTGCTGCTGTGGGCGAACTAGTACAGTTAATTTATTACCAGGTTAATACAGAGAGTATGACTGCCTTAGCAAGGGCAGTGGCCGACTTTCTAACGAGAGAGACGCACTGTCCCACACATGGGTACAGGCTGTCGTCTGAATCAGAGAAGCGCTGAGGGGTGGCAGGTACAGAATACGATGTTTATACAGATTTTAAGGATGCCAACCCTTGCTATGTTTTTGGTTTACATGTAACATTTGCTTATACAAAGTCGCCGTAGGGGTGCTTTCCATTTCCAGTACTCTTCTGATGTATTTATGAACTTTGGTGAGTGCTTATGAGTTTCACCCAAAAGATTTTTAATATTCAATAACATCAGTATTCACTTTCTCTACTTTGCCCCTGACCAAGGCTCGGAATAACAACGAGTGAGTATTGTTCACAGATAGTTTACACAAGATTCCATTTCTACATTGAAAATAACATATGTATGGCTATTTGCTTTTCAATAAACATTTATCTGTAATTAGTAATTCCTGTCCTTCTGATAATCATTTATTGCGCCTATAACAACCCCTCACCCCTTAGAAGAAGACCAATTTACACCTTAATTGAGCTTAAAAATAGGATTTTCCTGTCTTTATTCTCTTCGACCTCCGAAGTTCTGGGGCACTGCCCTGACTGTGCTCTGAACCTCCGCCAATAGTCTGTAATGGAATTGCTTCGGGGTTTAGTGCTAAATTCTTATTACTCATTTTTATTTTAATGTTAACTACATTTCCTGTTCCACTGGTTCCCATAGGAAGACTCAGTCTTTGTTCAGATGTGGCGGTCCTTTCCCTGAGTACTGTACACTTCCTCCAACGAGCGATTAGCCATTTCATTAGTTTATACAATCCATACAATATTATGACAGTTATAGCTATATACATTAATACACGGAATAAGTCGTGTGGTGTGTAAATTGTTTCCCTTTCCACTCTTGTTCTTCCGCCAACTTTTCTAGTTCCCGAGATTCTGTAACTGGCATACCAAGTCTTCCATATGCGTTACCGTCGGTCTCAGTGTCATATCCAACTTAATGTGACTTAAATTAATGGAAGTTTCAAATCTTTCACAGCACTCAAATTGTGTTTCTTCCTTAGATAATAAATCTCCATCATTTCGTGTATAATTCACCTGAATTTCATTTGTTGTAATTATCAAAGCTGTTACACTATATGCTTTACATCCGGAATCTATTTTCAATTTTCCAGTACCCCTTATTTTTATTTTCACTGGTTCTCTTTCGTGGCACACAACTGTAATGCCATCACTGACGGGTATGAAAGAAACCCATTCATTCCTGTTCTCCGATTGCGTCCAGATGGTGTGTTCCACATGAACAGCTCTTATATCACAAACATTTGGGATTCTTGCTTGGGGGTGTAACAATTTCACTTCACAAGATTCCTGCATATGGCTGTTTAGAAGTGGTTGACCTTGCTTATACAAGTAGCGATTTGGTTGTGCTAATTTACACAGTCTCAGTTCCTCTCTGCTTATCAGGAAGTAATACTGTCTGGTCTGGTGAATACATAAGACGTTGTTACTTGGTTCGATGTACCCAAACTTATTCCTGTCTACTTCTACGGGTAATNCTCTGTCATTAAATTCAAATTTGTCTGAATGGCCTCCATAGCATGATTAACGCGAGTGATGTGCTCTTCTACCGTGATCTTTACATCTAATAGGTTCAGTTTGGTTTCCGTATGAGTGGAAAACTTCTCCATATAAGCTTTTAATTTGTTTAGCCCTTTCTTGATCACCTGGTTATTATATTCCATATCGGATATAGTGCTATTTACGGCTCCCAATG